TTAAGGCATGTCTATTGAATTATATGGTAAGAGCGGTGCCAGTGATTAGATACGACTCATTGGATCAGATAATGAGACACAAAGACATTAAGATTGTGGTGCGTGAGGACAGCGCCATAGTATTGGACGCGATGGAAACAAATCCGACCATGGTAATTGATAAAAAATTTGTGCTCATAAATCACAAAAACTTTTACGACATGAGATTTAAAGAGGAGATGTGGTCGGGACTGATGAACGGCTCTCTGGCCTTTATAAACCCAAAACTGGTCATAGCTTTTGTTATAATGACTTTCAGCGGTAATTATCACAACGAATTTCGACATGAATTCAAAACTTTGTTTCACATCTCCGATGAAACCGGAGGTTTGGAACCATATTTCCTGGCATTTAAAAATTCGTCCGAACCGTGGCTTAAGTCCGGTTTAAATCATGGGTTAGTTTGGAATTATTTTATTTAAACTTATTTGTAATTATATTTTGTTTGATTCAATGATTTGTCAAATGTTTTAGTATTAAAAGAAGTCGAGAGTCAGGATTGTATGGGAAGTGGATTAAAGATATACTACTCTATCATAGATCACAAATTGAGACACTCTTTGATTCCGACAAACAAATGAGAATTGATTTTAAAGTCATTACATTTAACACAATTTTTGATGTGTTTTATTTGTTGGGCTCTGGTTTTGGTCTCTCCATTATCTCAATGTTTTTTGAATTAAGTTTTAATTTAATAGTTTTATTAGTAAACAAATATAAAAGTTTGTTCACGAGATATGCCCAACATTTTTGTCATCAAATGTTTCACTTCTTCTGCCATCAAATCCTTAACAAAATTGACTTCAGTTTTACTAACTTTTAAAATGATATCAAATCTCTATAATATATCGCTTATTAATAAAATAAATTTCAAATTAGTTATAATTAACTAATAATAAATGGATAATAAAAATACAATATTTAAAATCTCTTTCTTCCATTGAAATAACTGCTAACAAATATAGCAATTCCTACATTCAATGGGAAAATATACGGCAATTTCATAAATAAGTTGGATATGCTGATTGACAAAGTTGAATATTTAATAAATATTATAATAATCTTAATTTAATATTTTAAAATCATGTGATTTGTATTAAATTTTGTTTTAATTGATTTATTTTAACTTATTTTTAAATTTATGAGTTTTAAATACATATCGACTGGATTTTAGATACCATTGATAAAAACCATCGATGAATTTAATTCTAATTAATATTGATTATGTATTGGCATTAATTAATTTGTGTTAAAAATTTTAATATATTAATAATAAAATAAACTTTATTATAAATTTTATAATATAAAAGTACAAAATTATAACATAAAATTATAACGATTTAAATACTTATATAAAAAGTTAGTAATAAATATAATGGAAAATATAATTTATTAATGTTCCCTGAAAATTAATGGAGAATATTTTATAAATGTTAATTAAATATTTATTATATCAGAGACATTTATGCTATACTAAACGTTAACCATGATTTAAAGTTTAAATTTTAAACATTAAAAGCATACGATAAAATGATGAGTATACCATATATGGTAAATAAAATAAATATATAACCATTATAAATTAGGAAAAATTAAATACATGCCCCTGAATAACATGACTCGTTTAAAGTAATAGATCATGATCATTTATATTAGTTGCTGATTGATATGTATAACAGGATTTGTGTGCAATATATGATTTAGTGACTAAAATAGTATTTTCCAAATGAATCATAAATTACTTATTAAACACTTATAATTGGTTTTTGTCGTTTGATCTCTGAATTGAGACAAAAAATAGTCACAAAATGTGAGCCAAAAGTCGTATTCACGAGAATACCAGTCATCGGGACATCGATTATCTGATGAGACAGTCAGTTATGGCATCAATTGGTCGGACAGGGTTTGAGCGCACGGTTGATATCACCGATGGAACCGCTGTAAGTGTAAGTGATTTCTGTTTTAACCTATCCTATGATTAAAATCTCAAGAGTATTCACTTTGAAGTGAACTTAAACCATGACTTTGTCTTTGAGACCAAGTGTTTAATGTTTTTGATTTTAAAGGATCCGACGGTTAGAACCGCACAAAACACCGCCGAAGACATCATTGGATGTAAAGGACGGGCCGACAGTCGGTCGGATCCGTCGCTAAACAATATACTGGACACCGGTTTCAGTCATTTATCAAAAAGTACTGAATTAAAGGATTGATTAGTGGGCCAACTGTTGGCAACACTTGTGGATCACTGGCCATCACGTGTTGTGGTTAATCCGAGGCCTACGTGCTAGTTCTGATCTAGATGGGGTAGTAGGCTATGGACTCTTCACGTGATTGGCTGGGGGTTTACGAGTGCGGCCACACATGAGTGACCACTTGACCCGACGGGTGTTTGTGCATTGCGTGGTGATCCTGCGGGAGACGGGTTGTCGCGTCCATTAGCGACTCCGGCCGTACCAACCAATCTTGGTCAATGGGCCGCCGGATCGACAACTATGGGTACCGCCGCCTTCGTGTGCACCGCCTCGAGGGTCACGTGTGAGCGAGTGTAAGGGGTATATCAATTGGCTGGGGTTTGCCAGTGCGGCCATACAGTGGCCATCACTGGCCATAACATCGGCGGCAGTTATGCTTACCTGCGATGAGAGGGCTATTGAGATGACAGCCAATTATGGATTGAGAAGTGAGTTAACAATGACTTTGTCTTTGAGATCAAATGTTTAACTTATTTGCATTTTAAGGATCCAATGGTCAGAGCATTGGTATTAAATTTGATGACAACTTAGAGGAAAACCATTTCAAGACAATTATAATGGAGAGAAGACTCAAACAATTTGAACAGTTGTATGAATTCAAGTCATCGATAGACTTGCCATCAGATACTGGACTGAAAACAATTGAAATGCACGAAGAGATTCGGGAACGACAATAATGGCCAGACTGTGTGGACACCAGAGAACTACCGCCAACTCTTAGCCCCGGGTTTTTGATACCAGTCGATGATAGCCCACAGATGACTGCCAACAACTGTCCAAATGCTATACAAGTTGCCAACCCTTCTGGACAATCACCACCACTTCCAGTGCCGACACAACCAATTTTTTGGACAACACTTGCGATGAGTATGTGTTGTGTTTCGAGACTTAATCCATGTTTTAATTATTTATATTTCTTCATAATATTTATTGATTCAGATAATGATTAAATGGTGGACACAATGCGAACACAAGACAAACCGACCGGCCGTTGGCTTAGCATCGAATCCGTCGCTAAACAATATACTGAACACCGGTTTCAGTCGACTATAAAAAGCATTGAATTAATAGATGGATTAGTTGGTACTGTTGGCAACACTTGTAGATGACTGGCCATCACGTGTCGTGTGGTTTATGCCGAAGACACTGGTTAGTAAGCTATAGACTCCGCACGTGATTGGCTGGGGTTTGCGAATGCATCCATACAGTGGGCACAACTGGCCATAACATCGGCGGCAGTAATGATTACCTGCGATGAGAGGGCTATTCAGATGACAACCAGTTATGGATTGAAAAGTGAGTGAACAATGACTTTGTTTCTGAGACCAAACATTAACTTTTATTTTGTTTAAAGGATCCAATTGTCAGAGAATTGGTATTTTTGATGACAAATTAGAGGCAAACTATTGGCTATGAGGGAAATTGATGAGAAAATCTCAGAGTAAAATGAAAATTTTTTTTTATTAATAACTAAAATTGTAATTCAGATTATATATCGGCCATCGTTTTTGTCAACTATTGACCTTAATATTAAGAGATATTCAATATCTTCCGAATAAAAATGGCTGCTCTGAGAGTCAAAGAAGTAAGTGAGGTATATTTTGACCACCACTTTTGTTTTGACATTTTTACCACTAAGACACAAATGCAGAGTCTGATATAATAGCCAATCTTATAGAGCAATAACTGATGGTTCTAATCAATATTAAAGAAATATTCGCCCAAAACTATATAACTTTTTTAAGGTGATTTTAAAAATATGTGACCAAAAAAATAGGCCAAAATAGCCATATTTTGGGCATATTCCCGAATATTTGCTCAGGATTCTTTCCTGATCCCTTTTAATTGGTCATAAGTGGTTGGCTTTGTTAAGCCTTAGTTAACCAACAATTCCATATTTGAAAGTCTGTGATCGGACTCAACCTAGTCTTCTGGCACATGATTGTTTTGGGATTCTTTCCTGATCCCTTTTAATTGGTCATAAGTGGTTGGCTTTGTTAAGCCTTAGTTAACCAACAATTCCATATTTGAAAGTCTGTGATCGGACTCAACCTAGTCTTCTGGCACATGATTGTTTACATGTCGGGCTGGACTCAATCGGGCGCTAACTTGGAGGTCATAACATTTAAATTTTAGAATTTTAAACAATTCACTGAATAGATTGATAGCCAATGTATCGCATTCGCCTCTAATATTGTTTAGAATATGCTATTAAGTAGTCATTTGATGCTAAAATTCAAATTGAGTAAATATTTTGGTGTGTTCCATATGGTTTGTATCATCTGGCAACACTACTTCTTGATATAAATATATTAATTGTATGGCATATAATTGAAGCAATTATATTGAAGTATTGAATAGAGTTTAAATGAATTGGTTCATACAATTTTTTAAAAAGTTATAAGCTTTTAAAGTCAAGGAAGAGAAATTTTCGCATCAATTTCCCTCATGTCCAATAATTGTGTAATTAATTCTAAATAATTTCCTATATTTCATAGTATCTTAGGTATACTTTGAAAATGGCCTTATTATCCAGGACAAATACAATTTATCAAATTTTAATTTATTTTAAATGACATAATTTTATATTTTAAATAAAACCAAATTTGCCTATAAATTTAATCTATCCAAGCTAATCTGATGGCATAAATTAATAATTATAAGATCTCTCTCTCTCTCTCTCTCTCTCTCTCTCTCTCTCTCTTTTGAGTAAATATTTTGGTGTGTTCCATATGGTTTGTATCATCTGGCAACACTACTTCTTGATATAAATATATTAATTGTATGGCATATAATTGAAGCTATTATATTGAAGTATTGAATAGAGTTTAATTGAATTGGTTCATACAATTTTTTAAAAAGTTATAAGCTTTCAAAGTCAAGGAAGAGAAATTTTCGCATCAATTTCCCTCATGTCCAATATTTCAAGACAATAGTAATGGACAGAAGACTCGACTTATTTGAACAGTTGTCTGAATTCAAGTCATCGCTAGACTGAAGACAATTGAATCTAACGAAGAAATACAGAGTTTGAGGTCAACACCACTAAAGAGTCACAAAAAAGTGGATGCATTGGATGTGATCCCTGAACAGGACGATGAAGACCACCCAACTATCGATACCACATCTCAAACAACTTATTATATTATTGTTAAACCAATTATTTATTAATTTTTGAATTGATTTTTGTTATATTTTTTGTATAATTTTTTTGTATTGATTTTTGTATTGATTTTTGTATTTATTATTCGTTGTATTTTGTTATAAGTTTTTCCTCCCGTTTAGCGATTGTCTGTGTCTTTACTTAATCCATGGTTTGCCGTCTTATTCACCAATTGATTCACGTTTTCGTTGTATTCATCCATTGTTTGCATCACTTGTTGTATATTTTGTGTCAATTTTATCTCTTTTTTCAACCAAATCTGGCATTTGATGGTCTGTTCACACGTAATGTCCATCTGATTCGTATGCCCTGTCATTGATTTCATCCAACGGTTGACATAATGTTTGAAAAGCCAGTGTTTATCATGTGATCCGAGAAATCATTCATACGTTCATTGGTTTTCATCCATCGTTTGCATCACTTGTTGTGTTTCATCTGTTTTTCGTTTCAATTGTCGATCATTTGACGGACTCATCGCTCGTGTGTATCGATGTATGAATGGGTTTGGGTTTCCGATTGTCGACAGCTATTTAATGGCGATGTTTGTGGTCAGAGGTTCGGCCATCGGATCACCCGTACTGTCCAACCATACCGTATTGCGTGGCCCCGGACTGCGAGTGCTGTTAATCAGCCATTTGTCGCGCGAGGAATGTCTTCATAATTAGCGGTGCTATCAATGAAGACACGGCCGGCGAGAACTTTAGCGCCCGTACATATGGCTGCCCTACATCTCGACCACCAATACGGACGACACCACGTCTATACCGCCGGCGAATATACCAATGATAGCCATATCCAGGTATAGGAGTGAGATTTCTACCGCTTCTCCCGACACAAGAAATTTGGGGAAAATTGACGGATAAATGGGATATATTTTTGTGGCTAATCATTGCCAGCGTATATCAAATATATGCAGATTTGGTAAAACTTATGTCCGTAAACATAAATATAAGCGAATGCATTGAATACTACGAAACGGGCAGTTTTGTGGGCGCCACCCGACCCGACACACTTGCTTTTGAAAACATTGATTTATACATTTCGTAATAATAATTTACAAATATAAACTGCTATTTGTTTGATTCACTTAATAATACCAGCAATTTTCACTTTGTGGCACGCGTTTGTGACAAATATAAATTTTATTTTAACTGATGTTATTCTAACAAAGATTTACTTTTAAATAATTAGTTTTGACTTTCATTTGACTAACTTTAGCACCCCTTCTCACAAGTAATATCACATCCAATGCTTTCCTTTTTCTCATCACTTCTGCCATCAAATCCTCCACAGAATTGACTTCAGTTTCTCTCACTTTTAATATGACATCAAATCTCTCTAACGTATCGCTAATTAACAAAATTTAAATGTAATTAGAACGAGTGTTTATACAAATAATGAAATTATAAACAAAATACTATTCATTTGAGATTTCTTTCATTAATTGAAATGAATGCCAAACAAGTAATCCTTTATTTAGTGGATTTTTAATAGTTTTTCCGGTGATTTCATAAACAATTTGTCGCTTATTTTCATCCAATGGATAGACAATAACTCCCAACAGATTATTGCGTTTAAATGTCTTAAGTCTTATCTTTTCTCTCATTTCAAAAGCCATTCCTCTATTAATAAACTCTAAATACGAAATAAAATTTACTTTTAAATTACATAATAATTAAAAACCAAAACACAATACCTGTTAACTGAGGGCCAGGGATGAGAAATCCGGTCGCCTCTACACCAGCGAAATGAACGCCCACTACATGTCCGGTGCTGTCGACCACCGGTGCGCCCGAGAATCCCGGCGCCGCTCTAATGGTGTGTTCAATGAGTGAATGCCAGGGATGAGAAATCCGGTCGCCTCTACACCAGCGAAATGAACGCCCACTACATGTCCGGTGCTGTCGACCACCGGTGCGCCCGAGAATCCCGGCGCCGCTCTAATGGTGTGTTCAATGAGTGAAAGGTTTGGATCCATAAACGAAAAATAATATCTATTATATCCTATGCTAAACGTATCGGCAGTTCTCTCCCGATTCTCGGCTAATCCGTGGCTAAACGAGTGGCTAATCTTCGGATTACCGATAATCACTAAATCTTCGCCAATATTAACACCAGTTTGACTGATGGGAAGGAATGGTATGCCTTTGGCGACGCCTTTCATACGAATTAACGCTAAATCAATGGCCGGATCCACATATACCACATCCACGGCAACCACTTTAGTCAACGACACGCTATTGTCGGTCCGATTGGTTAGAAACCACTGGACGTATACCTCTTTGTGTTGTCGACACACGTGAACATTGGTCACAAAATAACCATGGGCGTTGATTGGGAAACTCATACCATCGCTGGCGATGTATTTACCACCGGTTGGTGTTAAGCCAATGGCCATTATTTTGGTTATCTTTCGCGATAACTCGTTGTGCAGCTGATCCGCACTCATGTGATGGTCGCTAAGACACGCATTTCGTAACCATAGATGTGGTCTTAGTTTAGTGTTTGTGACAA